TTGAGCATATTTTAGTAGTCTACCAGTTGGCTTTAGAGCCACGCCCTTAGTCATCATCCGGGTCTTTCCCCCGTGTTACACTTAGGAAAAAGCTTTTCCTCCCACCATCCTCATTGGGTGCATTCACATTTATAAAACGGTATTTTACACCTGCCGCCTCCCCCTCTACCACCAATATCCTCCCTTCCTCATCTGCAAAAATACACCTGACAGCTTCAAATATACCGCCCCTTAACAGGGTTGCAACCCCACGGACCCGACCTTGCCCATTACTTGCAAACACCTGCCCTTTCGATGATGCCTTAATTCTGTTTACAAGGGTGTCATCCCATTTAGTCTCTTGTACCACGAGAACGTCATAATCGCCTAATATTCCCCGTATCTTGAGCTCTGAGCGCAGCCCACGCACATTTTGCAAAAAGAGGCTGATCATGCTGGTTAATCCATTACTTTGGATGCCGCCTCCTTGCTGATCCTTTTTTTCCGGGGCAGCCTACTCCCCAGACTGGGTCTTTTCCTGAGGATTTTGGCCGTTTCCAGGTCCATGTTACTGTCGATCCCGGTTCATCCGAAGAGGGCTGTCCAGAACCCCGCGAAGCGGCCACCGGAATTCCTCGCCCCGAGTCCGTCCCGCCAGGAGCGGGGAGCCCGGACACTCCGGCAGTCGCCACCTCTTCCTGGCTAGATAATCTCAGCACAGGAAGCGCCGCTCCCTCCAGCCGCGTCGCCGGCGTCTCCCCGGCCGCACCAGACGCCGGCTCCAGCTGGGGCACAGCAGGAGCAGCCCTCTCCTGCACTGCTGCCCCGCCCCCCTCCTGAGTCGTCGCTCCGATCTCCCCTCCATCCTCATCCGCGCTTTGCCCGTTACTTCCAACCACGTCCTCGTTGTTGTCTTCCCCCATCCGATTCCTGGCTCGCCTCGTTACATATACACTTGTCAACTCCGTTATAGCACAAAGCACACTGCCTCGGTTTCTTGCACTCCCTTGCAAGATGTCCCTGGGCTCCGCACCTGTAGCATTTAAATTCGGGGCACTCTCTCACAATATGTCCGGGCTGGAGACAGAGTCTGCACACTCTAGCCTGTCTGTCATGAATAACACGGATGTATTCCGGCCCGGCTGCCGTATCAAATTTTGTGGAGTAGGGCAGGGACTGCACAGTCTTGTTAAACTTTACTTTCGCCCCGCACAGCTCCCTGATGGTCTTCATCAGCTCCATTGCCGTCACCGCCTCCCCCCCCCTTCATCTCCACGATCACCGTGTTCCGTTCTTCATACACAACTCTCTTTTCCTTCTGTCTCAGCTGTTCCGCTGCACTCACTCCGTCCCTCCTTTCGCCGTCGTCCTCCATTCCTTTGGTCTCGTTTGCCATTGTATCCATCTGAGAAAGTTTTAGAAAATAAATCGAAGCAAGAACAAAAACCGCTCCCCCCGCAGAAAAAATCTGCTGGGGGAGGAAAAAACCTTCCTTTACGGTTTAATAAAACTGATCAGCGTCAAAAACTGCAAAAAACAAAAAGAAACGTTCACGCTTTTCTCACTGACACCTACACTGCACCTCGCGTCCAAATGTTGGGGGCGTGTTAGGACCAGTGTGATTCTTTCTGACAAGGAAGGGGATGTGCTAAATTACACTTTGGAAGTTTAACAAGGTGGTTTTCATTACCGTGAAGTTATGGCAAAATCCTGTTTTGTGTATATCTTTGTGAATGCTGCTTATTTCTGGATTTATATATCTTTTGACTGTGAATGAGTACCAGTGTGATTCTTTCTGAAAAGGCAGGGAATGTTCTAAGTAACACTTAGAGAGTAATTTTAGCTAGGTAGTATTCATTAATGGGAATTTATAGCAAAATCCTTTTTTGTGCATATCTAGGCGAATGCTGCTTATTTCTGGAAAGTGTGATATCTTTTGACTGCAAGTTAGTGCTACTGAGATATTGGTTGAGAAGTAATGGAATGTGATGTAGAGCACTTCCAAAGTCATTTGACCTAGTTTTAAATCGTTACTTTAAAGTAACACAAAAATCCTGTTTGATGGATATCTCAGTGATTTTTGGATTTTTGATAGTGTGATAACTTTTGACTGTGAATGATTACCAGTGTAAGTCTTTCTGAAAAGGCAAGGAATGTGCTAAATGACACTTGGAAAGACATTTTAACAAGGTTGTATTCATTATTGGGAAGTTATAGCAAAATCCTGTTTTGTGTATATCTAGGCAAAACTGCCTCTGGAGCCTTCTTCAGTTCGGTTCCCAGAACTTTTTCGAACCTCCTGATCTCACCACAGGAATTGAAATGGTTCTATTGATGAATGTGTTCAAAACGAGCAGCGCCTCGTCTGACAATTCTTCCTACAAGCTTTTAGGTGGCATCTTGCCCAGTTCTTTATTAGACATTCAAGCATCCATCCTGACAGGTTGATTTTGACCACAATGTCACAATGGACATTGTCTTCTGATTGCCAGTGCTAACTGAAAATTAAACAATAGCGGTCTATAGTCGGTAAAAGATGGCAATTCTAACTTATTAAACACATGAAAATAAAATGATCATATAGTGGATATGTAAGCAAATGTCTGCTGCATTATGTAGCCTATATGTGTGCCTCAATCTTTTCACCTATACGTGAGCAGTATGTGTAAGCTTTTCTGGTCGAATAAAAAATGCTAAAATTCAAAATAATAAACAGCAATTTTGATTATAAATGAGAAGTAATTAAAAAAAGCATAAATGCTATACAATAAGCAGAAAAATGACAAGCAATAGCGATCTTAAAAAGCAATGATAATGCCGTAAAAAAGAAAAGAGAACATTATGAATATCACGTCTGTACAGGTGTGCAGACTATATGAGGGTATGTGGTAACCTTAGCAAAGTCAGTGTGGCTACAGGGGTTCAGTGACAAAATCAGGTGTTCGTCGTCATCATCATCTGGGTAATCTTCGGTCACCACCTCTCCGGGCTCAGAGAGGGGGACCTTGCAGTTTCACCTGCAAGTTTCAAAAGTTAATATAAACACACTCATTCATCTAAAAAAAGACAGTTTATTTACAAGACAACATATTCAGCACTGATCCAAAATGAAAATACAAGTACAGGGTACTGAAACCTAGTCTCCAGAATGAAGTCATTTTAAAAGTTTATTTATGTATTTATTTTAGCTGGGTCTGTCCAGTCTGTGGTAAAGTTTCCAGTTTTAGTCACTGACAGTGAGGTTTTCAAGTCAGTCTGAACCTCATGAATCTTTCTGCAGAATTTTATACGTGCACAGTTTGAATCCAGATGTTCAGTCCTGTTTTCTGTCAACTTTTACCTTCTCATTGTGTATTGTAGACTCTTGCAACTGGATTTAATTTCTTCATGGGGATGGACAACCCAAGCTTTCTTATCTTTCTTAGATTCCAGTTCTGATGCTCCGACAGAAGATGTGCTCCTGAGCTTTTATAGGCTGTTAAGCTGTAACCTGTTGAAAGACAGTGTTATTTTATTGTTACACACTTTCTTTTGATTCTCACCTGGTGATGATAAAAAGTAGTTAGTGAGCAGAACATTCAATTTATGTGAGCTGAAATTAATTGTGGCTGTCTGTCACAAAAGAGGGTCAAATGTTGAAGGAAGCCATGTACATCAACACTGTTTGTAGTTTTCCTGCTCTCTCCCTTTTGAAAAAGAACTGCATTAACATCAAGATGAAATGGTTAACTGCAGTCCGGAATGCGCAGGCTGCATGTTGAAGAAAATGCTATTTTAATGTCTATTAAAAAGCCTTTTCAGTTGGGGCTGACCGATGTAGAGGAGAGTCATAATTTTGTGGACTGCTTGCGAAATCAGTGCTCGCAAAGGGGCGACCAAGTCAGAGAAATCAGGGGCGTGCTCCCCCAACACTGTTTACTGTGGGATTGTGTGCTGTTGACCTCAAATCGCGATGTGGTGAGTCGCTGGGCGGAGTACTTTGAAGACCTTCTCAATCCCACTGGCACATCATCTGTTGGAGGTGTGAATGTTACTGAGGTTCTTAAAAGGCTCCGGGGGTGGATGAGATTTTAGGATGATTTTTAGAGTTACGTTGGCTGACTGACTGCAATGCATGTCCGCTGGGTTGGCAGACTGGGATGGTGGTTCTCCTTTAAAAAGGGGGATGTAGAGTCTCATCCAACTACAGGGGAATCAATCTCTTAAGGATCCCTGGGAAGGTCTATTCTGCCATGCATCCTGGAGGGTGCATGGCAGTTCGCCCAACCAATTCACATGTTCTTTGTGGACTTGGAGAAGGCGTTTGGCCGTGTCTCTCGTGTCTTTTTTACGGGCTGCTCGGTCCCTGTACGACCAGTGTCAGTGCTTGGTTTGCATCGCCGGTAGCAAGTCGGACTAATTTCCGCTGAGGGTTGGCCTTTTTCTCTGATTCTGTTTACAACTTTTATGGACAGCATTTCTAGGCGCAGCCAAGGTGTTGAAGGGATCCATCTGTCTTTGTGGCTTTAAGATCGCGTCTCTTCTTTTCGAACACGATGTAGTCGTATTGGCTTAATCAAAACGTGATCTACAGCTCTCACTGGAGGGGTCCGCAGGATCAGTGCCTCCAAGTCCGAAACCATGGTCTCTCACCCGAAAAAGGTAGAGTGCCTCCTCAGGTTCAGTGGAGGAGTTCAAGTACCTCGGGGTCCTGTTCGCGAATGGGTGTAGGGAGTGGAAAATTGACAGGCGGATCGGTGTGGCGTCAGTAGTAATGCGGGCGCCGTACCGGTCTGACGTGATGAAGAGAGAGCTGATCTTAAAAGTGAAGCCCTTGATTTACCTGCCAATCTACGTTCCCATCCTCATCCATGGTCACAAACTTACTGGGTAGTGACCGGAAGAACGAGTTTGTTAATATAAACAGCAGAAGTGAGTTTCCTCTGCAGGGTGGCTGGGCTAGGGTGGCACGGTGGTGTGGTGGTTAGCACCGTCGCCTCCCAGCAAGAAAGTTCTGGGTTTAAGTCCCGGGGGACCCAGGACCTTTCTGGGTGGAGTTTGCATGTTTTCCCTGTGTCTGCGTGGGTTCTCTCAGGGTTCTCCGGCTTCCTCCCACAGTCCAAAAACCTAAAAAAATAACAGTTAGGATGATTGGATCATCCAAATTGCCCTTAGGAGTGAATGTGAGTGTGAGTGGTTGTTTGTCCTTGTGTGTGGCCCTGTGATGGACTGGCGGACCCTGCCTCTCGCCCGTTGACCACTGGGATAGGCTCCAGTTTCCCCCGCGACGCCATCAAGGAATAAGCGGTATTGATAATGGATGGATGGGTGGCTGGGCTCTCCCTTTTGAGAAGCTCGGCATCCGGGAGGGGCTCAGAGTAGAACCGCTGCTCCTCCAGCCTGGAGGAGCCAGCTGAAGTTGCTTTGGCATCTGATTAGGAGGCCTCTCAGTTGCCTCCCTGGCAAGATGTTCCG